CCTCGTTTCGCCCCATCAAAACCCAAGAGACCATCCCTACAGCCCATGTCATGCCCTCTACAGCGGGTACTTCACCCTCCAAGCGCCGCTCAACAGGTGAGCCAAGCTCTTTGCAGAATGCACCAGTTTCATCCAAAGCAGCTGTACCCGGCTCTCCCACTGAAAGCGCTGGGCTGGCCAGGAGCGGAGAGCCAACTGCTGAGAGACCCTCTCAGGTGCTGCCCCTGGATCTCTTGCAGCGTTACGGGACTTGTGGGGAGACTGGCCTGGAGCAGTCCTGGTTCCCTGTGTCTGATCACATGAGAGCAGAAGACACGCGAAAATTTGACATTCCTGCCATCGAGCCGACCCTCAATCAGTCTGCTTTGCTGGACACTCTCTACGCTGAGCCTCACCGCCGCTTCCAGGATCCAGACTGGGTTCCCAGTTCCAAAGGAAAGGAGCTTTACAAAGTGCTGCCCGAGTCTAAGCCAGCAGCAGGGGCCAGTGACGCTTGCGAGCCACGAAACGGGACTTGGCCCCCTGGGAGCAGACCGGTGCCATTAGGATTTCAGCCCAGTAACGTTTTTTCGAAACCGATGGCTCCTCCGTCTCGGGGGTGGAGGCAGGAGCCTTGCACTTCGCATCCACATCCGCGGGGCTGCGAGCTCAGTGCGTGGAGGCAGCAGCTGGACTCCATGCGATTGCAAGTGGAGCAGATGCAGGTAGAAAGCGAACCAATTAGAATCCACTTTCTCCTTCCCTTGGCCTGTCTCTTGGGGCTGTGTGTAACGGAACTGCGATTCCTGGCTCACGTTGTGTGCCTCTGTCGCACCTGGTCCCCAAGCTCTCCCTACACCACGTATGCCGGGCGAATCCTTTCATCGCTGAAACGCAGCAGCTGTGCACTGTAGCCAGCAATGCTACACACGTGTGCCAGGTGGTGGTGACCCCGTCCAACAGAGTGCAGGGGAGTGTGTGCAGGTGTTTCGGCGAGCGGACCAGCCTCGCTCTGGATCTAGGCTTAGGGGGAACAGTGTCAGGGAGGGTTTTAATGGAATCTCAATCTTCCATGGGAGGGAACGATTTGTTTAGTGGGAAGCGCTATCAGAAACTCCTGGCTCCCAGTGACACAGCTCAGCCGTCTAAAGTTATTCAGCAAATTCATTGCCCAAGCTGAGCCAAATGACTTGTTCCCAGAGCCCAGCCACAGGCTGCAATGGTTCTGCACTAGATTAACCTTGCGCGTGCTTGCATGCCAGATGAGCGCACGCTGCACAAAATAGCCCCGGCAACGTTGCACTTACCCTTCATGAAAGCAAGCCTCTCCCTCTCCCCCTCCCTTTCCAGTTACAAAACGGAGCCGTTTGCCACCAGCCTTCCATGTGTGCTGCCTCGCTGCTCTCAGCTGACCCAGCCCAGTGGGTCGGTGTCCTCAGCGCCAGCGAGTCTCTGCTCAAGGAAAAAGAGATCCTCATTGACAGGTAGGAGGCACTTCAGGGGAGAGCGGTCAAACCCAACGGGAGCATGTTCTGCTCTGCGGGGTTTTATTCCAGCGAAGGGCCCAGGGATTGTAAGGAAGTATTTGAAGAAACGCCCTTTTCTCCCCTGAGATTTAAGAGTGATTTCCATTGAAGCAGGCAGGGAGACGGGATCCCTCTAACTTCAGAGGACCTGAAAGGCTTTTTCAAAACGGGTTGTGCTTTTTTCCTGCTTTGTGAGCAAGGAAGCAGAGACGGGATCCCTCTAACTTCAGAGGACCCAAAAGGCTTTTTCAAAACGGGTTGTGCTTTTTTCCTGCTTTGTGAGCAAGGAAGCAGAGCTACAAGCGTGTAAAATGTGTGCCCCTGTTTGCTTACACGAGAACCAAGCAGAGCTACAAGCGTGTAAAATGTGTGCCTGTTTGCTTACACAAGAACCTCTTGGAATGCCGGGTCTGCTTCTCCTCGTTTTGCTGGAGGATCTTGGGGGTGTTTATTTTGGGCCGGCGAGACTTTATCAAATCTCTCCTTTTGCCAGGGTGCTTGTTGGCTGGTGCTGTCACTGGCCGGTCTTTTAAAAAGCAAACCCAGGCCCAGGCCCACTTGCTGTTCCATTGCAGGCTGTTTGTAAGATGCGTAGTTGTGGGTCTTGGCGTGGTTTGGGCCTTCCCGGGGGGGCTGGGTTTTCCCCGGGCTGAGTTTCCATAGCGGCGGATGCTTGGCTAGCGCAGCGGCTATGGGCTTTGTCTGCAAAGGGTAATCTGGGCCGGTCTTTTAAAAAGCAAACCCAGGCCCAGGCCCACTTGCTGTTCCATTGCAGGCTGTTTGTAAGATGCGTAGTTGTGGGTCTTGGCGTGGTTTGGGCCTTCCCGGGGGGGCTGGGTTTTCCCCGGGCTGAGTTTCCATAGCGGCGGATGCTTGGCTAGCGCAGCGGCTATGGGCTTTGTCTGCAAAGGGTAATCTGCCCCATCTGGCTCCTTGCAGGCAAAGGCAGCACATCACCCAGCTGGAGCAGAAGGCGCGGGAGAGTGAGCTGCAGGTCCACAGTGCTCTTAGCTACGCTGCCCCTTATGGAGACATCTGCATGTTGCGAGTGCAGGTAAGTGGAGAGATGGCGCTTGGTCTAGCAGGCTCTCTGTGCCGGCGGGGGGCGAGGGGAAAGTCCCTTCCTGGTGTGGCTGCTGGTGCAGTTCCTCTGGCACATCTGAGTTTGCTGTGGCTCTGGACGGTTGGAGCCTTGGCTTCCTGAACCAGCGGCAGTGGCCGAGCGGAGTGCCGGCGCCGCTTGCAGGTGCGTCAGAGCTGTGCTGAAGCGCCTGGGAGCTGTGCAAGGTGGGTGGCACCTCTGTGCTGGAACCAGCCCCGTCGGGCCTGTGTGGCAGGGGGGGCGCGGGGCG